GCCACCCGATACCCAAACTCGTACGTCACCTGCCCTGACCTCACTCACCAGGCCACGGTCTAACTCGGCGAATGCCTTGTACTCAGCAATCGCCCCTTTGATCTTCTCGGGCAACGCCAGCCGCTCCTCCTTCAGGACCTCTTCGGCGGCCCAAGCCGAAGACCTGGCGGTCTCGACGTTGTGGGAGAGGGTCAGCAACTCGTCATCCAGCGTTTGGACGCGGGCCCGACTTTCCTCTAGCTCAGCCTTCAGACGACCCACCTCTTTGTCCAGAGCCGAGGCACGCTGTTCGGCCGCGGCAACGGCCTCCGGGCCCTCTTGAGCCTTTAGCTCCAAGTTCTCCATCCGAAGAGCGGAGTTGGAGTCCGACTGATGCTCGTTCACCTGCCCAGTGTCGAGGACCCGGTCGATTAGCGCCATGGTATAGTGTTGGCCCTGCATAAAGATCAACGTTAGACCCACGCAAGGAAGGGAGAATCGAACAAAGAAAGAGCACCACTACTCACCCAGACAAGTGACTTCGCCGCCCGGTCCGCCAGCACCTCCGAGGAGGAACAATAAAGCTCCTTTGCCATGGTTGGGTGAAGCGCCCCCTAGACGAACTCTTGGGCAGTCGGCCCGTCGGCCCATATTCGACTGTCGGCCTTGAGGGTCACCCACCGAGAAGCGTAGGGAGTCCCTGGCTTGCTTGCGAGAAGATCGGCCATCCTCAAGGGCTGGAACTGTTCAACTTTGGCCAGAGAATGGACGCGGCACAGGTCCCGCATCGACTTCGAGCACACCGCTGCCCTCCTCGAGGGGTCGTTACCGAATGATCCGGTCACCCCCTTTCCTTTTGTGCTCCCCGAGCCCTTGCCTTGGGGAGCAACCCCGAACAACCCCGGGGTGGCACTCTCATGAGCAACCGAGCTTTCATACGTCTTTTGCACCGCCGTTTTTTCCTTTTTTTAAGGGTGACCTGCCTTCGGAGACCCCGGTGTCCTTTTTGGTGTGCCCTTCAGCGAAGCACCCCCAGCTCTAGAACCCTTGCCACCCCGAGATGGTGGCATGGCGGCCTTGGCGTGAGGCGTCCTCTTCATAGACTGAAGGTCCACCATCCCTACAAGGAAAAGCTTGGTCGGTCAGATAGCTCGAGACAAGCGGACGATCCGTAATATACAAATAACCATACCCCCAATGGCTGGACTTAGTTCTGCCTCGACCAACCACACCTTGGTCATCTCCCTGATTGCCCGAGAAGAGGACAAGATGCCTCTCAGCCGATTCATGTCTGCTGTTTCTCCGACAGAGAGCAGGGGGGTATTGTCGATGGTTTGGGAAGTCCATCTAGTGCTAAAACCCCACCCCCAACTACAATTGACGAAGAAGAAGCGGCTCTTCCAACCATTGTTGTTGGAAGGAGTGCCACTGATCTTAAAACCACTGCAGGCGGTTAGGTAATACCCGCCCCGCCCCTTACACAAACGGAAGCAAGCCAGGAAGAGGATCCTGGTCAGCTCGATCCTAGCCCCCCGACACTCTCCAATAAATGCCACCAGATAGCGCCAAGAATTTGGTGCCATTTGGGATGACGATATGCCCCATTTACGGAGGCACTCCCCGATAATGGGATGCAGCGGGAATCGCAATCCTGCCTCGAGGGCCCCCACGATTAGCCCGAACCCATTGGGAAACTGATCATACGACCATTAACCAGGCTGAGGGGCATGAACGCCATAGAAATCCGGGATGTGATAATGATCCCAAAGCACCCTCAAAAAGTCCTCGGTCATCGCCGAGTCCACATTATACCACGACTTGAGAGTTTCAAGCACAGCAGAGCTCCTTGCGGCCTCCGAGGGAGCGCCACCGGAGGACACACTGATGACTTCAGCTCGCAGGCCCCCAGAAGAAGAAGATGAAGAAGAGGAAGATGAGGAAGAAGAAGAAAATGAAGATGAAGACGGAGACATCCCGACCTCAAGGTTGGAAGGAAGAAGTCGGGGCGCAGGACGAAGGACTGAGCAAAAGTGATAGCAACTGCTCTGGAAGAAGCTTATAAAGGGCAGGCTACTCCACTGCGGGATGATAGTTGGGCTTCCCGAGGAGAGAGATGGTCGCAGCATTTAAAACCCATCATAACTCCTCGGATTCGCCAGATTTGTCAGTCTTCAGCAGAGTGTTGCGGTGAAATCCATAGGGATCACGGAAAGGAGCGTTCGGGCACTGCAATCTGAAGTCTCCAATAGCTGCCATCTCAACTCGGTGATTTGAACTTAGCTTCGTCTTTCCAGTTGGAACATGATTCATTTCTTAAATGATTCATGATTCATTGGAGATATCATTCTTTTAATTATATTAATATGATGTATAATTGATGAGGTTTAATGGGATGGATTTAGTCAGTTGGGTGAGTAAAGATGGGATCTTTGCATCTCGATGAAGAACTGAACACACAGCATAAGATTGTGATGGTAGTTTCTCAAAAATTTCACATGTAAAGATGTCTCTGTAAGCAAAATTCTTTGTGAAAATGTGGGGCATTGTAGCTTCTAATGTGAGAATATGAATATTGGATACTGTTTTTAAGTGGTTGAGAAATGTGAAGTGCGATGGAGTTATCCCCAAAAGCAGTGAATTTATGGACGCAATACTTTCTATAAGTGATAAATATTTTCTGCAATTTTAGAAATATCTGTCATCTTATTTGTATACAGTATCTGAACATTAACTGAAGGAATTTACTCTTATGAGCTTCAGTCAGGCACATCGAAAGAGAGGGAGACGGTGATAGCATCAAATCCTTGCAGGAAAACAAAGACAGTTTGCACAATTGGTCCCTCGTGTAATACGCTTGATCTGATATGGAAACTGGCAGAAGCAGGAATGAATGTTGCAAGTCTCAATATGTCTCACGGGGATCGCGAATCACATCAGAGGATTATTGATTTGGTCAAAGAATACAATGCTCAATCCAAGGACAATGTTATTGCAATAATGCTTGACACAAAGGTATGCTTGCTGCTTGAAGACTTCACCAGATCCTTAGAATTGATCTCTCCAGGTGCACTTTAAAAAATTACGACATGAGTTTTATCTATAACCTTCTCTTGACTTGACTCGGTATAGATATCCGCAGAACATAATTTATATTTGATCTTGTCTACTTTTGTTCAGACCCACAATCATCTCGATTATCTGCCTACTGAAATAACTGTGAAATGATGAATATCTACATGACTTTCTGAGAACCTGAAAGAGAAAAAAATTAAGCAATAATGAGTTGAATGAGGCCATCTAGAAGTTGTAAGAACCCGCTTTGAAAGCCGAGGTGCAGGTTGGCCAATCAACCTGCATGTTTTCCTTCTGCCAAAAACTTGTCTATTTCTTTGTAGTTGTCTTGTACATGTCTGGTTGCTCTGCAAAAACTTGTCTATTTCTTTTTAGTTGTCTTGTACATGTCTTGTACATGTCTGGTTGTTCATTTTTCTCACCATCACTATTTGACAAGAGGTGAAAGCTATGCTGGAATGAAACACAGTGTTTTGATCTAATGGACACAATTTTAATATATAAAGTATCCAAGCTAGCTGTTCTAATGCTCAGTTGTTGATTAAAATTGGTATTTGATATAAGGATTGAAATATCGTACCGTATTGGAGTTTCGATATTCGCTCGGTATGGTACGATACTGTATACTAAGAGGT